TGGGTAAGGGGAGAGCACTTTTGTGCCCTTTGAGAAATGCAAGAACCCAGTTTTTCCATCTAGTGGCTTAGAGGAGAACTTCAAACGGAACCCTATAGGCCTATAGGGTTCCGTATAGGTCCTATAGCGACCCCTACACGTTTTATAGGGAACCCTACGGGTCCTATACAGAACCCTTTGAGTCCTATAGGGAACCTAAAGGCCTTTTGAGGAACCCTATTGGTTCTATAGGGAACTCTATAGGTCCCAAACTGAATTCTATGGGGCATATAAGAACCTATAGGATGCCTTTAGGTTCCTATGAGACATTTTCGTAAGGGATGGGTGAACACCAAAGCACATTGAAAACCCTGGAGATGAAAGTGTGAAAACAACATAACTCTGGGATGATGGGATTTTTTCATTGAATAATGTATGTTCAGACGTCAAACTAGGCACAAAAATAATTAAAAGCAGCAGCAAAATTAATTCATCCACATAATGTATCACATTGGCTTCATGATTTCATGAAGATTGCATGAAAGGCATTATTACATGTAGTTGATGCCTGGGCTCCTTGCTCTACAGCACAACTCCATTAGTGCAGAATTAAACTCCCAACACAGTTACACCCTGTTGGTGGTCAGGGTTAGGGATACGATGGACATGAATTTCCTCTTAAAGAGAAGTAAATCTGGTGGTGTTTTGTGTGACAATCACGTGAGCCATTCAATTCAACGAGCCTTTTTCCCCAGGGTGTGTGCTGTTTATGAATACACGGGTTTTCATTGTCCAATACTTTTCCTGTTCTATCAATCATTTTGTCCAGATGCACGATTGACTTCCATGTAGGCACTGTCACCTTAAATCCCTGTTGCATTCTATGTTGTTCCTGTGTAACACAGGAAAAATAATCTGGTACGTCTACATCTATTCTAAAGTGTGGTGGCTGGACATCTGCCATGCTACTTTATGAGCGGTCAATAAGTTGCTGATGCATGTGGCTACCCAACTAACCTTGTATAATGAAAATAACTGTAGTCATTCCAAAATTTACTGTACTTGAATGTGAGTCATTACTTCTGAAGCGTTTCCCATAGATATGCTGCTTTTTCTGACTGCTACTTCTTTCCCCATGCCCCTGTTGAAAGCCATAGTTTCACAGTGCAATGGTAGAATAAATGTTGTTTTGCTCATGGTTTTAATGCTCTTTCCAAAAAATTTTGACTTAAAGTTTCATATTTCTCTTTTACTGTGGTATATGGGACATGGTTTAATTTCATTGAACAAAAAGATGGCCTATGTTATGCAATTGCTCTTAGGTGAAATTACAATGGGTTTTTGCATCTCCTGAATAATGTACATTGTATGTAATGTCTTAGAAATTGATTATGTAAACCAACCAGGGGTCTATAGAGTCCAGGGAATCAAATGCAGCTCCAGCCTCAGATCTTTTCATCCAGCGATGAGATCAGATATCCTGATTCGAGCAACTTGATAGTGATGCACATAGTAATAAAGCAGACTTGCGGCCTTCTACCCGTACAATGACTTTTTTCTCACTGCTCATCAACTAAGAATAGTCTTAACCAGGTTCCCGCTGCCAAACTCTGATATACATCTCGCGATGCAACATATATCCATGAAAGGTATGCTGCGGCACAGGGTGCTATACCTGCCAAAAGCGACATTACAACCAAAATTTGTTCAACATCAGTAAAGTAAATGATAAAAAAACAAGGAACCAGGAAAGATCAAAAAAAGGACACACGTGGGAACGAAGAGGAAATTTTATGTCATAAGGAACAAACATAGTCCCGATGAACAGATTTGAAGAAATAAGAAGTGCTTCTTCAAAGACCCCGTCGTCCGTAATGGTATCAGCATTAGTTTTCCCCTGCTTCGGTCCATCGATAACCTGAATCTTCAGCGAATACTCAGAGCGAACTCGCGAGCAGGCAATGTACAAATGCCATTCATGGATAAAGGCCCCGTAAGTAGTAATCCGACTTGATCAGATGGCTGTCCCTGAAACTTGTTTATATTCGTACCGTAGGTAAGCTCGATAGGGAAGTGACGTTTAGTTTAGGGAAGAGACGATAGGGAAGTACCGTTCCATCCAAAGATGGAACGGTATGGCGACTTGGGTTGACGCGTCCAGTGAGACTATGACTATGGGCAGCAAGTGAACGCAGCCACAAAGCGCGTCTCGTATCACCTCAACCACTGTACTATGAGTGTTGAAATGAAAGGGGGTCTTTTAGTCCCCAACCCTAGGCTAACAGACTATGAGTAACAGTCATTTCCCCCTTTTCATTTGAATCCCCCTAGTATTTATACATTTGCGTTCAGGTCTCTAACGATCACATGGGTATCGTTGCAATGGATATTTCCAATAATATGACTCCGTACGGGGATCAGAATAGCTCCAATATTTAGATTTTTGGCGTGCGGAAAGAGATCAATAATATTGAGATTGTCGAAGAACTCAACCGGAAAGGACCATCGGCGTCATCACCACCACGATCGTTCTTCACATTGCTTATTACTGTGATGTGTCCGCAATTACCCTTCGAATCGGGACGAAACGTGCTCATTTCAGAGACAGAGAATGAGCGCGTTTGCTACTCACTTCGTCATCACAGACCCTAAGTCGTTACTCAAACAGCTCGTTCACCATATTATCTGAGATTGAATCGCCTGGTAAACGCACCAAGAGCTCAAATGGATCGCCCTACACTCGTGGAAATGTTTCACTGCCCACATCGGACAAACTTGCAGCAGTGCGTATGTTTTCTGTCAAACGTTCGAAAGGATTGCCACCTAGAGTCCCCTTTCATCTCTGGAGGATGGTTTCAAAAACAAGGAACCAGGAAAGATCAAAAACAGGACACACGTGGGAATGAAGAGGAAAGTTTATGTCATAAGGAAAATAGTCCCCATGAACAGATTTGAAGAAATAAGAAGTGCTTCTTCAAAGACTCCGTCGTCCGTAATGGTTCATTCAAAACGTTCGAAAGGATTGCCACCTGGAGTCCCCTTTCATCTCTGGAGGATGGTTTCCTCGCCGTAATGAGATTTCTGCCCATGTATCTATCGGGATCCCGACCCCTTCGCCGATCGGAACCCAGTCCTCTCATTGATCGGTACTCGCGAGGAGAGTGATTCCCTAGGGTAGAAACGGCGGGATTCCACATGTATGGCAGAGGAGCGTTTATTCTTGGATAGGAAAGACAACGCCGGCGGCGTCGTAATCATCCCGTTTTTCTCTCCCCAATTTCTGGAGTGGTCCTCAAATTCCAGGTCTGCCTTTGCTGGGCCTACGAAGACAAAAACGGGTCTTGGCAGGGCATTATTCCGTGTTCAGTAGGACTCTATAAATCACTACGCACGTGGATCGCCGGCATTTTGCTTAGACCTATTCCCAACCGCTCTTTTCTGCCATTATCCTAAACTGAAAGTATTGGACCCATTTTCTTTATGATTTAAAGAAGTATCGGAACGACTTCAGAGGGCTTACTGGTTCCTCTGAGAACCGATTGTGCCTGTTGTGTCTGGGCTGTTTTCCTGCGAGTTAGTGTTTAGAAGAAAATTGGGTGATATCCCATAGGTGACTAGGCACCATGAGCCCAACAAGTACGAGTATGGCTTTCCATTGCAGCACATATGCATATACTGTTCTTATGGGTGCGCCATCTCCAGTTTTTTTTAATTAGCTCAGTGGCTATTTCCCAAGTTATAATAGGTACACGCAGGGTGGCATGAGGCCATTAACGCTGAGAAATGTCCCGCGGCAGGTTGCGATGTGTGTAGCGTGAGAGGGGCCAATAAAAGCCCACATTGTCTTACGAGACGACGATTTAAGGTAATGCCTTGATCTCTGGATTGCTCTTCTTCGCCTAGCACCGGTTCTCCGTCCTTTGCAATGACTAATAACGAAGCCCAGGGGCAGAACGAGAACTTAGGGGTGCTTTTGCAGCAGGCTACCCTCTATTTGCTTTAAATAGACGGGGTTTCGCGTTAGGGCTGATTCCACTCAACCTCGCCTACTTTCACCAAAACGCGTGACCTACGAGAATATCCCTTTCTAAGCCATAGGCTAGGCGGAAAAAATGTTCGATCGAGTTTGAAGGATCTCTTAGAATGTATGAAACTGGTGTCTCATTGTGCAATTCCTTCTATCTTAGTGGATACTTGATGAAACTCGCTCAAATAAAAAGTTGTATCAGCCGGGTTCAGGAGATATGATAACGTACTTCATGGCTTTTGCACAGGATTATCTGCACTTCCAGAGCGACGAGCCGAAATGGAAGTGAAAAGAATTATGTAGATCTGTTAGCCTAGAAGTACCTTTCATTTCTGACATATGAGGAAATCTAATATAAAGAAAACCATAGGTCAAAAGTCCCAACTAGGACTTCATTTACTTGAACGCGAAAAATGTAATGTGACTGACCCGTCCCGCGACCCATACTTTGCATACTTTAGCAGCAGGTCGTTGCGAATGAGAGTAATGAATACTTCCACTTTCGTACTTGTCGAATCTCGCCCCCACATTCCCGTTGACTAAATCGCCTCTTGTGGTTTTCATCTCTTTTCCCGGATGGGGTGAACTGGAGCACGCACTGGGGCGATGTTCCACTTGAAACTTTCGTGTCTGATGACCTTGTCTTCTCTCTCGGACAAGGTCAACGCCCAGTTCCACTTGCCCGCCATGTTCAAGGTGGAAAGGGTACTGAAGTGTGGAATTGATAGAAACTGCAGGAGGCAAAAGGAAGCTTGGCATGAAGGGATACGCTTTCCTGAAACTGAAACTGACAGTTTTGTGTTTACTTGTATTATGTGTGTCGTCCGAGTCAGAGTGTAGTAACGCGAGGGAAAAGTGAGTCTGGCCGAAGTAGAGACGCTGCTGTGTCAATATGTGCACTTTCCTTGCAAAGAACCATCGACCAGTATGTTAAAAGAACATCGACACGTCTTTCTGTATTCATTAAAATTGGAAAGAGAGGTCGCTCTTCCAATCACTCTCGACGATCCGTTGGAGGAGTGGAACGGGTTTACATGCGCTGGTGGTCGTGGAAGAGGTGCACACCCCTGAACACGCCCCTTGCTTTTCTGAGCGTCTTTCCACACGTTTCTAGCACTGTTTCGTGCAAGGAGTTTGGAACGTGGAGACCCTTTTCTTGTGAACTAGTATCCTGTGACCCTGCACAACGGTGTGATATTCCAAAACGTTGCATAGAAGAGACTGAAACCACATCCGTTTTCACTGCTTTTTGGGTGCAGGACAATTTCCCGTGAAAATGACCAAGTTGATTTCCAAGAACTTAAATTATCAAAGCTCCCCATTTCGTGCTAAACGGCTCTAGTGATTTTTCTGTTTCCCTTGGCCTACTCGTCCTTTTCGCTTGCCTGAATGATGTTCTGCGCATCATTCTAAAGTCTCACTTCATAAGTACGATCGGATGGAATCAGTATGAGGTGAGTCAGGCCATTCAAGACCAGGAATGCGCCATCATGGCTGTTGGCATTATCACACGATGTATATTCACATACAAGGTGAGTCAAAAGTCCCCGTGCACCTATACTAGAAACGACAGAGCCGCCTAATTCTTAACATTCCCTTACTGATACTTAAGGAGTTAATACTCAATGCTATCGTGAAGAGATTCTTTAGCCCTTCATTGGACATTTAAGTGAGGACGAAATTGCCCGGGACTACTTCCAACAGGCCGGTGCTATTGCACAAACAACTCGCGCCTCCATGACGCTTCTGCGCGATGTGTTCCGCGACAGAATAATTTCAAAGGACATTTGGCCACCGAGGTCGCCCGATCTTACACCCCCTGATTTTTATCTGTGGGGAGCAATGTAAGGCCCAGTCTACGAAGGCAATCCACGTGGTCTCCTTGAAGTGAAGGAAGCCATCACAAATTTCATGAGGAACATCCTTCCGATCGAATCGGCGCGTGTCTTTGCAAACAAGATAAGACGTGTAGGTGCGTATCTACAAGCACGTGGGGGTCATTTACATTTGTTGTGACTTAAGTATGAGTAATGTACTTGTATCTATGAGAAGGGACTCTAAGAATAATTCTTATCGTCTACTGAAGGCGCGGGAACTTTTGACTCACCCTGTAGAACATTATCTCCCCGCATTCCGGATCATCTAAGTACTTAACAGTACGAGTTGCCTCACAGGCCTTAGCATGAATTTTCTCCATTCTTGCCTGTCTCGAGTTCATTAGTTATTGATATGATAGAACTTCGTTTCTTCGAATGCAACTACGCGGGGTCAGAGAAGTACTCATGTCACCCATCCCACACATTCGCTTTGAAATAAATGTCAATTCGATACAATTGATGTGACATTCACACGTGCATGTCACATCAATTTCTTGCTGACATTTGTCATCCGAAACGATTCAAACGTACCATTCTATAGCCAGTGGCACGTTTGTAGAGTCATGTCAAGTTGATGTTGAGGCCCACGCGCAAGAATACTCTTTGAACGTGGAACTCACGTCCATGAAGGTTTCAACTCGATGTCGATATCAACTTCGTGAAAATGTCTCGTGCCCATCTCGCATTCACCTTACAAAGGAAACAGCGGTCCACGGACGCGAATGTCAAATATGACCTCTTGGGTGATCTCTCTCGCCGCGCCTGAACCGACTGGATCGAAGAAAATTCGCATCGTGCTTTTGCCCAGCTGCCTCCTTTCCATCACTTCGATGGGATGGAAAGGAGGTAGCTGGGCTTCGTACTTCTCATTAGCTTGACCTGTCTCTTTGATTAATCTACCGTATTAAACGACGAGGAATTTGTCATTTCTGATGCTCAATTTTAATGCTGTGCCATTTACATAATGAGTGTCCTTAGCGTCGTATAGGCGTGTCAGGAAATTGAGACGTTAGCAGAGAAAATATGCAGTCAATTGCGCAGAAATTAACTCATTCATGTTTTCATTGTGTAAAAATATAATTGCAACAAGAAATCCCTTGATTAGACTATTATTTTAGCGTCATTCCGAGTCACTGAGAGCAGATTGTGGACAACATTTTCCTTGAGTCCGTGATGACGAAAAGGACACTTATGTGGAAAGTCAGAACTGGGTCCCGCTCGATTCCTTCATGAAAAGATTTTTTTTTTAAATTCGACTTGTCCGTTTCCTCGTCATCTCCGATGGCATTATCGGATTCGTTTTGCCACCGGCAATTCGTCTTCCTCGACTGGAAAATGTATTATCAGAGACGGGATACTTCACGAACGATTGCGATACAGGCGACCTCGCGAACGTTTAGCTTATATCATAGTCATGATAACCCACACTCTTCCCGCGGCTTCGTAACGCAATACAGACAGTAAAAGAGCAGGAAAATTCGAATACCAAATGGATACGACTTCAGTCGCCGTGCGGGATGTCGAAGGCCCTCGAAGCAGATGAATAACATGAAAATTTTGGTATTTCAGTCCGTTTTCATTTTTCTTCCTTGCAAAAAGAAACGATTATGAAGCACAGAACGTGACACTAATACCCCACGGCACGCAACCTCGCGAGGTAAATAAGAGACGAAAAGAAGCCGAGTATGTTAGAATAACGAAGACGTGTAGAATCACACTCGGTATCCACGCTGTCGAAATCGTTCTCCTCTGTTTCTTCATCGACGCTGAAGCATCTGATGGTTCCCCCCGGGTCCTCCGACGTCTTCCCGCACTCGTCATCTGCAAAGTCAAACGCCGAATTCAGCGCCACCGCCGACATCGCGACCGCCCACCTTGCCATCGAAGGCGGCATACCATTGAGACGGTACGGGTGGATGTTCCCGACGATCCAGGGCAAGAATGAGGAAATATTGACGTAGACGCCCGGCTGCTGGGGCTTCCCACAGTGGAAACCGTAAGAAACGATCCCCACCTGGACCCACCTCCGACCCAGACAGACGTGCAATGGTCCCCCGGAATCCCCCTGGTAGGGGGGAAAACCGAAAACATGTTGTACCCCCAAACAGCCAGAAGCTGCACGACTGCCCATCAACGTCGATTTTATCGACGACTAAGGTTACATTCCAGTCCCAGGAACGGATTCAACCGAAAACGATTCTGCGAGTCGCCATACCAGGCACGAATCCTTTCCTCCGAAGTCGTGGTCCCCCGCACATATATGAGTAAACTCGATTCCCCTATACAGACTTTCGCACTTCTCATGAGGATAAATGTCCACTTCGACTTGTTGGAGTACAGAAGGCTGGAAGTCAGATCCCATGCTCGTCACCCCCCAGCCTGCAAGACGAAGGCATGAAAAGGATCTGTTTTCTTCTATCTTTATAACCGCATTCTACTAATGAGTCAATAATTATATATATCTGGAGCAATTGTTGCTTTGCTAGCGTCTTTTCGTCTGGATCGATCACGAGTGAAATATTTGCAGCCTAGAAGTGACACCAAATGGAGGAAAAGGATTCTTAACCTATAACGATGGCCTCGCGGTTTCGGGTGTCAACCGGTCGATCGGGAAGGCAGGCGGTTTTTGGATCCTCCCTCCAAGAACCGCTCAGCTCGAGGATCGCGAGATCATCGTAGACGGCGTAATCGGTCTTCCTGTAGTTGGGATTAATGTGGATCCGTCGGATGTAGAAATCCTGATGCTGCGCCTCCGACTCCGTGTCGAAGTTATGCTCTCCCATCCGGACCCGATAGGAAATCAGGTCTTGGCCGATACTGTCAAGAGAACCACGAATCACCACCGCGATCATTCGCATGAACCTCAATATAGTAACATAAAGAGGACGCACTGGTAAACGCAATGCGCAGCGGTGAGGACATGGAAGGGCGTGATGAGCGAACCCCCACAGAAGGGTTTCCTCGACGAAGACACATGGAGCAGAGCAGCCATCCAGGGATATTCCAACGGCTTCGCGTTCTCCCCTCCCACGATCCGACCGTTGGACGAGGGACTCCTCTTCGCCGGGCAACACACCGTCGTCCTACCACCCACCAAAAACCCGAAACTGACCCTTTCGTTCATCCTCCCCTCGGTACGCGAAGAAAAAAAAAAAAAACCTGTCTCTGACGTGCGAGCAAGCAAACCGCCTCTGATATAATTCCGTGCCGAGGATCCTCTCCGTACACTCGCCCTCCACCTCGCACCGACCTGCTTCCCCATTGAAAATGCACAACTCGGACCCCTCTCCCCTCTACGGGTCACACGCGGCACCTTCGCCTCAACATCCTCACACCAACCAACAGAAAAACCGCTCGACAGCTACCGAACAATTTTGCCCCGACGAACCTGAGGAATCGATCCAATCCAGACGACGACGAAAAATCCGAAACGGACGAGAGAGGGCATCCCAACACTGCCGCTTCGCTGCTCCCACAAACCGTCTTTTTTCCCCCTGAAAACGTCGAAGCACGTCTATCCGCCTTGTCGACCGAGGGGCAATAAAAGCTGATAATCTCCCTCTATCTCCAACGCGTCGTGACGTCACTGGAGAAAGTAACGTTCGGTTGCCTCATGCCTATGCTCTTCTTCGCAGCTGGAATTTCGTAAGGAGTCAGCATCTTCTTTAAAGTAAAAAAAAAATAAACTAAATATTTTAATCCTGTTGAGATTACCAAGAATGGAATCTGCTCGCTCCCAGTTTTGCATGAAAAAAAATTTGCTCTGAATCTGAGAGAGATGCAGAAGATGCTGGACCCAAGAAAGATGCACTGACACTTTTGACATACTCATGTCAAAGCCTTGCTCCAGAGCAGAAAGGAAAAGGGAAAAGAACAAGACACGTGGGCGGACACGAGGGGAACAATAAACGATATGAAGTATGTTCAAATCAGGAAGAAATGATAAAAATACATGGCGGGATATCGGTTGGCATGGCAACAGTATAGATATTAAATACAGAGCCCTGCCATAATAATTTTGCCAAGAAAGAACTATTATATGAATGTATGAACGAGGTGCGTAGAAAGTCCTGTTACCTCTAACATATATACAAGCCAGGTTCGACGAGGATGCACTGCCTAAAATGACCAGTTAAGATGCGAACATGAACTGTTCGCTACAGGAAGTGTCAGGGTGAAACCATCGGCATGGACGACCATCGACATGGACGACCATCGGCATGGACGACCATCGACATGGACGACCATCGGCATGGACGACCATCGACATGGACGACCATCGACGTTATTTGGCCGTGTTGAGATTGTTCTTGTCCGTCTCGAGCAATCTAAGAAATGAACGGCCAAAAAAACGCGTTAATTTGCAACCTCTCTACTTGATCTCCGCGACGCATTAACGAATTTTGTATCTGAAAACACGAGCAAATTTGAGAGGATATAGGCATTCGTGGGGAGAGTGAAGGCCAAGCAAAAGCAAAGAATAAAAAGTTTTATTTCATTTTTTCCTTCAATTTCTTAGATCAACTGAAACGGACAAAAAGCCAGCCTGCCCGCCGAGGAATCTCCCATCCCTCACCCTGCGACAACTCGCTCTCAGCTTCCGTGGACGAACCGGCGCGAAAAGTGCGCGAAAAGCGCGCGAAAAGTGCGCGAAAAGCGCGCTTTCGCAGGACAGAGGAGCGGAACCGAACGCAATGCCTTTCCACGCGGCTATCTTGCGGAAATTTGCACGCGAGACGCGGCGGCGCGTTACTCGGATTCTTCGCTGCGAACACGACGGAGTCCACGCTGACGCACTAGATAAGTGATAATTATGCTGTAAGCAACCTTATGTAATTTAAAAAGGGAATTAAAGTTATTTTCAACGAGGCGGATTAGGGGTAACGGATTTTTTTTTACGGACACTGTACATTTTAGTATATTTATTTTATAAAGGCTAAGTTTGCACATCAAAATAAATGGGAAGCACATCCCTGAAAAGTGAACTTGCACACATCAGTGTGCAAGTTAGTCACTTTCCAGCATATATCTTTGTACTGCGGACTCAAGAGACTGAATGAATTAAAAGTTCAGGAATGCTTATCTGCCCGCCCTAATTCCAGAGAGCCACGTCCCCTATAAATACAAGAAAGGAGCCTTCGGAATAAAAGTTTTGCTTCGGCACGGTATCCGTGCCTGGTCTAACAGAGGCCGAGAACAACAGAAAACTTATCAAACAGACATCAAATACTCGCACTGGCTGCTGCGGGAAACAGCTTTGTCGGCAAAGAGATAAGCAACCCAACCCACACCGATGGTTCCAGGTGCTTTTTTCCCCTCTGCCATTTCCAACCAGGAGCCGCGTCCCGGCCTTGAACCCCTCCAAGTTGAAAAAGTTAAAAAAGCTTCCGTCGAAGCTCACAACGTCTCGCCAAGTTGCACTCAACAGCTTCCAAGAAGCCTCTCTGATTCTTTGTCACGCCAAATTTCAACACATTCGGGACTCCTTCGTTCCCTGAAACGATGGAATCGTTCCTCGAGTGCGTCTTTCCTCGCTTTGGGCTCGAAGTGGCTGCGTTTCGCTCAGGATTATTTCAGTTATCATCAGCTCCGCTCAGACTAAGAAATTTCATCTACCGACTCGTTATTTCGCCAAGGAATTCTTTTCGGTGCAAGGATTTCAAACGTGAAATCAGCGACACAGAAAACTCCACATTGCAGCAAAAAAAAAATCCAATAAAGCCCAATAAGCGGAACCACCGCCAGAAAAAAAGCGACTTCAATCGAAATCGCACCAGTCCCTAAATGAAACGAGACCTAACCAACGTGCACGATCAATTAGAGGAGTTGGAAAGGTCCAGTCTGCCTCCACTCTTGGATGCTCCTGAACGTTTCGTGAAGCAGTTTCTTCAATCCGTCCAATCATCCACTAAATATAACTCGTACCCACTTACATCAAGAAATTACTGTAGCGCATCTGCATTCACTTCGTCTCTCCATCCCATCCACACGAAGTACTGGTACGCATCGCCCCACGTCCTTCAGCCTAGCCTACGGCCTAGACAGGCATAGGCCGCACGCGTCAGGCGAAGGTAGCCCAATTCCACAGGGCGTTCCAGAAGTCGCGCACGGTAGACAATATGACATTGAATGTGATTGAACATTGGCTAAAGCCTTTTTATCCCAGTATAGGCTCGATATGTTGTTCGTCTTGAAAATGCAGTATTCAATCCTGTTTCTGCTTACAGATGTATGGAATATATGTTCCCGGTTAGGAAATGTCTCACTAAATTTTCTAGCTACCTCCCGATTACTTGCACTCCCTCACAACAGAATAACCTCCACCCGCTCGTCTTTAGTTGATGCCATAATTAATCAATCTGTAATAAAGGAGATATATATATATAAATAAATCCTTCCACGGCAACCTGCCGGTATTGGAGATATGAGGGGGGATGAACCACATCCCAGACCTCATACTCGTCTTAATTCTGAAGGACACGGCGAAGGATGCTGGCCGTGCCCAAGATTGCTGTACGCTGGAGAATATCCAGTGATATTTCACACTCCAGCTTCTTGACATGTCCTTTGAGGTCTTTCAGGACGACGCCAGTTGTGCCTATGATGATCGGAAC